CTAACACCAAAACCTAACACCCCAACAATCTACACCCTAATGCCCGAAAGCCCTGGCTCCTTAATGCCTGAAGCCCAAAACCCTCATCAAAGTCCTATCAGCCCAGCCGACCCGAATGAAAAGAACAGCTTCATGAAATTAGCCCCCTATCGAGAACAAAATCGGAACCCTATGACAACGGCCTATTAACGACCTATGCACAGCCCTACATGCACCCTCATATAGGGGCCTGGATATAGTATAATTATGATAACCGAGAAAATATGAGTCATTCTTCAGGCTTCTATACAGTCCCTTTTTGTAAGTAATTAGCCCTTATAGCTTGTACCCATCAAAGTAAGCTTACAGTTGGCGTTTTGGAACCCTTTACAGGAACCCATCATAATGACATCCCTTCTTCCCAGCGAGCGACGACCTCCGCCCCGAGCTGCAGCATCTCCTTGGCAACGGCCAAACCCAGGCCCTGAGTCGAACCTGCAGAGAGGGTTTAGGGTTTAGGGTTTAAGGTTTAGGGTTTAGGCTTTAGGGTCTAGGGTGTAATATTTAAGGTTTAGGGTATAGGGTTTAGGGTTTAAGGTTTAGCCTTGGTGCCTACTAGTGAGTGCCAGTATTCAAAGCAAAACGGTTAAGCAAATGCAAGGAATACTAACAGCAAAAAACATGGTCTAATCACAGCAATTAACAATAGTCGTAACAATAGTAACAGTCAAAGTGACAGATAACAACAATAATAGTCACAGCTTCAACAATAGCAAGTAGTAACAGATAGTGATATGTAGCTATTCGTAGTATCAAGCACGGAGGGCGCATTTAAGGAGCCGGCCGGCCTGTCACGACAGCCTTGAAGCCCTGCAGCGACCATCTGGATGTCGAAGTCATGGCGGTGGCGCGAGATGTCAAAAGCAGTCGAAGTTCAAAGGTGACTGAACAAGTTTTGCCTTACAGAAGCTGGCAGATCTTTTCTTCCTCAAGCCTGTGGCCTTCCTGCAGCTTGGAGCCAGAGTCAGCCAGAAATTTGGATCTAAGAACACTGAGTAGGCTCCTTGGCAGGGTTCTAGCTATAGTCGGGCCGACTGCCAGGACGTCACGTTAGGCGTGCAAGCAAGGAACCCTTCGGGCTTCCGGGAAGCAAGGGACAGACTATGGGAATTCCTGGCATCTTAATCTGCGCATGCAGCAGCTCTTTTGGTTCTATGCTGGCTGCGTCAGAGAAAGTCGGCTCCTTTCGAAGCCTTTGGGACTGGGCTTTGGGAGCTATGGAGTGCTGTCAGCATCACCAAAGGCTCCAGGCCTTCCGGGCCCATGGAAGCAGGCCGCAGGGGAAGCGAGGCACCAACAGGGCATCCTGGTTTCTGTAGCAGTCCACGGTATCTTTGCATGGCAGCTTTGAAGTTTTCGTGGCAGGGCAAGTAGAGGCCGTACTTCTTGCTGAGGGGTCGGCACTTGCTGAAGTGCTCCCATGCGGCGCCCTGCTGAGTTTGTTCGAGGTTTCGTCTGGCTATCGCCAGATCCGTGTACTTGTCCTGCATGGTGTGGAGTGCGGCAGACATCTGATCCCTTGCAATCTCGAAGCGTCGCATGCCCTCGGCGAACTCCGCCTCCCCATCTGGTTTCTTCGCTAGCAGTGTCTGTGCCGAGTACTCATCCAGATTGTTCCAGAAGTCCTGCCCGTGACAAACATGCATGACAAGCTGATCGGAACCGAGAAATGTTCCAGTAGCCGTGTATGAGAATCTGTCGATGCAAGTGTAACTTTGAGTTTGGCCCCACAACATCACCCAGGAGCTTCGCTCACGCTCCAAATCAAGCAGGCGCACGGCCATATCCAGACACGAACCATCCGCGAAGCAACCTATGGTTACTGCAGCAATGCCGCTAGACATGGACCAAAAACCTCTAGAAGCCGTGCTAGCCAGCGCGCTTCCGTACTGAGGGAAAAACATCGCGAGGACCGCTCCTAAACCCCGCGGCACCAGACCCTCGAAGTCCCCAATCCCGACTGAACAAATTTGAAATAGCCTTGTTGTCGTGTGCTGTTTTGGACTTGTTTCTTAGACTGCGAAAGATTACACTTCAAGAGTTGTGCTACAGTCGAACCCTAATCCTGAATAGCAGCTAGTACAGCCTAGAACATACCAACGACCTTTCCAACGCCGCGCAGTTCAAACCTCAAGCATCCACCATGTCACCATGTCCCTAAATCCTAAACCCTAAACCCCTAAACGCTAAACCCCTAAACACCAAACACTAAACCCTAGCCCCCACCCCTAAACCCTCTGCGGTGCCTTGTCCCCTTGATGCAAGGTGCTCTTGAACAGGGGCGGATACGTGCAGGAGCATCCTCAGGAGAAGACCAGGCTCTAGGGCTCTAGTGAGTGAGTTTAGGGCTTAGTGAGTTTGGGGTTTAGGGTTTCGGGCTTTAGCGCTTAGCGAGTTTAGGGTTTAGGGTTTAGTGTTTTTTTTGGTGTTGTTGGCCCTTCTTTTCCATCTGCACAAGGTTTGTGTATCCGGAACGAGCTGTGGGCCAGGGTTAGTGAGTTTGGGGTTTAGGGTTTCGGCTATGAATAGTGAGTTTGGTGGCTCTGGCAAGAATGAACTGAAACTGAATGGCAAGTCTTACTTTATACTAGCCATGGCGATGATAACAACACTGATGCTGGCCATCATATACACAGTTGTAATGATAGCCGTATCAATGTCAATGTCAATAATGCATACTACTTGGCATTGATGATGATTCAGCAGAGGATGCCTGCGGGGACGCTTGAACAACTTGTCATCCTGTGGACCACTCACTTACCCCGCTTGCCCCACTTACCTTGTTCGCCCACCGACCTCGCAATATGCCCTCATCCTGAATTCCTGGAAGCCTAGCCAGTGGGAGAAGTGAGGAAAGGGGCAAGCGGAGCAAGTGGAGAACTTCGCTTGCTTTTTCAGAGGCAGAAGGTGCAAGCGAGGAAAGCGGGGAGAATAGACTTTTTACATCGATCGGGGCAAGCGGGGCAACAGCAGACAGTGGATCCAGCGGGCGCCATGAGGCGTGCCTCCAAACACACGGTGCCGTCAGAACCATGTCCGCATAAACGATCAGCATCTTATGAAAAGGTTCCCATCGCTGCGTATTGAAAAATGGCCGACATGCTATACCTCAGTCAAAATGATGTTTCTGCGAAATGTCATGCAACCTTTGGAGCAATCAGCAATCCCAAAGCCGGCGCGGCAACCATGACGAGCTTGGATGGCTTTGCACTGTATGCTTGCCAAAAAACAAACCCTGCGACATCTAGTCCTGTCATCCGCGTGCAAACCACTGCTTAGGGGGCGTACAATGTACTGTTAACTCCCCCAACCCAGGTGGGGAGTCTTCTGCTGAGCTGGGAATCAGATCCGAAGTTGATGCTCGTTTATTTACACACACAGACACGATCTACCTATTTATCTATCTATCTGTCTATCTATCTGTACATATATATATATATATATGTATATATGGTGTGTGTGTGTGTATATATATATATATAGATTCCGTCCGGAATGCTGAAGTTTCCTTTTCGAGGCTGCTGAGCCGCTGTTGCCCACGACGTCCACGCCGGGTATCTCGCCCCCCGGGTCCTCGGCCAGGCCGTCGACCTGCTCTCCACAAAAAACTGATTTATCCGGGTTTAGGGTGAGTCAGTCAAAGAATCCAAAAGCGGCGTATGGCGACTTTGAGAAGTCCTCAACCACGCCAGCTTTCAATGAATCCAACTTCAGATTTCAGAAAACATAACTCCATCTTGAACACAGTCTTAAACACTTTGCAGAGGCGCGACCCCAACAAACAACTGCACAACCGGTGTTTTGCAAGATACACGCGGACGGGTGCGGCGCTGAGGATCAAAGCTGATTAGTGCCCTGCAACGACAGACCCGCTCCCGCTCTCAGTCTAGTTCACCAACTTTGGAAGTTCTATGCACATAGATATACTATTGACCCGGCGATACAATTCCAAAAATGTCAGGCTCAAAGGCTCAAGGGTTTGCAAACTCGGCCTGCACAGGTGGTGCCTCCTCCCCAAACAGCAGCGAAAGTGCCTCTGCACAGGCGGAAGGAGAATAAGGAATTTGCCAAACAGCTCCGTCCCTAGTGATGCATGCTTCAGTCAGCACGTGCTGTCTGAACATATGACATTCTGCCTGACCCATGGCTGCCGGCAGTTCAAGTGTTGGCCAATGACAGGGCTGGCTCTCTAATCTGATCAATACAAACTTGTCTTTTTTCAATCGTGTGTTGCCCGATGCTGATGTCCCGTTGCTCGCATGTCCTGCCCAGGTCCCACATAAGTAAGCCATCTGTTCACACCAGCGCTATGCCACCTGCGATGGCTGCAGTCAAACGAGCCATTCTTCAACCAGCATCAAAACCCAACAACCAGCTCTGCGCTGGCGTCCTGTCCCGAAACTTCTGCCCAGCATTCTCAGTAATCATCACCGTCGGCATTTTGTTCTTCCAGCGTCATGCCAGAAGGCCTACACTGAAGGAAGCTTGAAGGGAAGCCCCGTGCGATAACCAGGAGAATGCAATGAGATCATGGCATGGAACACGGGGCTCCCTTTCAGGTCTCCTTGGCAATCTGCTGAAACGGAACAGCGCGAGCCGACTGGGCAAGCGTGAGATGCAGACTGCTGCAGAGGGCTGACACTTGCCGAACTCTATATGCCCAATGCCTTGGCTCTAGTGCTTGCGGCTGCTTGCGTTCAACTTTTAGATCTGCTGCTGTGAGCTCGGCCGCACTGACCTTAACAGAGAAGCTAGAGCGATCATAAACTCGCAAAGTTGTTTTTCACACGAACCGTTAGAGCACATTTTTGGACACGAGTCTAGGCCTCAAAGTGCGGTCATCGCTGGTCGCTAGCCTACAACAGACTCTATGGCATAGCTCCTTGCATATGTTGTAGTAGGAATGGAAAGAATTAAGATCGCGAGGAAACGGATACACTGCGTTCCTGGAATCCCGAATTTCAACGGGTCGGAACAGCTGGAGCCAGCGTCGGATCGGCAGCTATCGCGGCTTCCCGCTCCTTCCATTACTCCAGTGCCCACAATCAATGCATGATCCGCTGTAGCCTCGTAAACACCGACTGACCATGCTATAATGTACTCTAAAACCCATTCTAAATATTACGCCCCCCCTTCATTATGACACAAAAATTCATTACTGCTTCATGCTTTACAAGAACATGGCATGGATGTTTTTTCGACGACATGTTCGGTCTCATGGTTGCTGCGGCTCCTGGATCAACTGCCGGGCCGAAGGCAAGAACTCCTCCATCTTGTCCATGAATCTTTGGTTGTTTGCACCTTGGGCTTGACTGGGTTACAACGCTATATGTCGTGCAACTATCAATATCATGGCCGTTTCACCAATACCTTCACCGAGTATCGTATCGAATCGCGCGCTCCCGTACCGAACTGAACCGCAACATCTGGGACCGCACCAAACCGAACCCACCTCCCACCTGCCTGCCCTCCCACCCTCCCACCTCCCACCTGCTCCCACTTCCCCCTCCCGCCTGCCTCCCACCTTCCCACCTCCCAGCGCAGAGTGACAAAATCCAACCCGAAGAACGCCACCCGTCAACTCAAAGTGCCAGGTTCAAAGTGACAAAAGCCAGGCCCAAAGTAACAAAATCCAGGCCCAACGTGACCAAATCCAGGCCCAGAGTGACAACATCCAGGCCCAAAGTGACCAAATCCAGGTTCAAAGCAGGCCCACACCGACAAAATCCAGGCCCAAAGTGACAAAGTGGTGTGGCCGGGGCTGGGTTCGGGTTGGGCCTCGGGGCTGGGGCTGCAAACAAGAAAATGACAAAGTCTAAAGCCCAAGAAGCAGGGCCGGCGCAAGCGCGAACACGAGAAAATACAAAAGCGCAAAAGCCAAGGAGCAGGGCAGGGCCCCACAAACATTAAAACGAGAAGATCAACATAAAAAGTTAACCCTGAACCATAGACCCTAGACTGCCTAGACCCTCAACCGTTAGGAGGTGGGAGGTGGGTGGCAGCATCGAGCCGCACCGCACCGACGGGCATATCACCGAAGCAAACCGCAGGCAGCGCCAACCGTGCCGAACCGAACCGTAACATCCATGAATATACGTCAAAACGTCTGACAAAAGAGCCGCGCCTCAGCTAGATGCAGGCAACAAAACAACATCCGCCCTGCCATGATCCTTTCGTGCACTCTGATTTGCCTGACAGTCTGCGTTGCCTGCTACCCCCCTCCACGGTCAAACTTTGGACCAGGGGAAGTGACACTCCGGAGGACCTCCATGATGTCAAATGGGACGTTTTGCATCAGTTTCTGCAATGGATCGGTGGCCAAATGCCTGGCAAAGTCATGGCTTACCTCGCATTCCCGCTCTCCCAACAGCTCCATGAACGAGGCGCCGAAAGCATAATGGTCCAGCTGCACACGGCCCCAATCTGTCCAGGGCATGGGGGCATAAAACAGGGTGCCAGGTCCGTGAGCCGCTTCCTGTTGGAGCGACTCACACGCATCGAAGTCAATCAGTTTAATGCGGTAGGTGTTGCGGTCGGTTCGCAACAGGTGGCAAGCTTCACATCTCAGTGCCCTATGCCGTTCTTGTGGAGATGATCCAATGCGCTTGCTGCGCCACAAAACGTGACAGTGAAACCACTGTTGTTCATGCAGGGCCCACTCAAGGCCGGTCCCAGTAGTTCCAAAATAATCGCTGGATAAGGCCTACATGTCACCATGTAACACGATGCTATGCACGGATGTGCGACACTTGCCATCACCCGGCCCTGTTCCAGAAAATTCCGTATCTGCAGAGCAGACGGCTTCTCAGCCTTCATGACTTTCACCGCACACGGCAGCCTTTTAAAGGTGCCTCGCCAGACTCTGCCCTGGCATCGCGTACCAAGTTTGGCCTTGCGCGACCATGGGATTGCTCGACAACGTCTTTGCTTTGTATTGTCGAACAGCCCTGGCACCTCGGACTACAACATCATGAGAAATCTCATGATGTTGTAGTCCGCAGGGCCAGGGCTTGCCCGCATGGCATTGTTCGGCCATCTTGGCACCTTTGCGAACATGCTTAGGTCAGTCCTAAGATACTCGGATTGCCAACATGGACAGGCTCGGCGGCGGAATGCTGGTTGCTGTCTAGGTCCAGGAGTCCAGGCTTGCATTGTTTGCATGGGCGCGCATTTCGACTGACTCAACAGCTGCTAACAACGGTTCTGAGCTTGGTATGCAGCTGAACCGTGGAACAATAACGTCACACAAGCTATTCTGCACTCAGCCATCACTCAGCCACATGCCAAAATGTGGACTTGACTGCGCTTGCGCAAAACATGCCAAAGCACCACTTTGTCGTTGCTGTGGGTGTAAGAAGCTTGGCCCACGAGCAGTTGATGGCAAAGGATTTTCGAAGGTGCGAGTGTGATCTGGAAAAGTCGGAAAAGCCATACAAGCTCGCTGCTAGTGACAAGTGGACGGTACCCCATATCCTCGAAGTTTGGACGGACCAAAGCTCCTTCACCTGAGCCTCACCGGAGCCGGAAGCAAACATTGCAAGTGCTTGTGACGTAACTGGCCATTGGGCAGACTTGGCCAGGACAGGAAGCTGAACAAAGAAGCACGCACAACCAGCTCTGCCCACGGTAACCGGGTGCCAAACCGTTCCAAGTCGTCAGCAGCTTGCCTTCCGAATAGACGGCAAACATCGGGGAGATTCTTGCTCGCAAGACCTTGGCGCGAGGCAATTGTCAAAGCGGTTCTTGTTTTTCACGCTTTCATTGCTTTGGCCTCGTACGAGTTCGGAGTTTCCTCGTATCGTTATGTCAGGTCTTGGGAGGTTGCAGCCGAGAAAATTGAACTCATCGGCTCCTGGCCTTCCAACAGTTACGCCAATATCACAAAACTCTCCAGCGTTCCTCACCCTTACACCCTAGACGGCCCTGTTTCGGGATGGAGTCACCCGCATAGTACTCTCATGGTATACCTTTGGGTCATAATTTAATATAACAGTAGAATACAACATAATATCATAACCCTGAAATGTTTCGGCCTGAGAGTCCTGGGGCCCCGTCCTCCTTCGCATAGTGCTTGCAGGACTCGTTCTCGTTCCCAACGATCTTTAAGAAGGTCGTGTCTTTGTAGACTTTCGCGTACTTCTCATATCTAGGAAGGAACGCCTGGCTGTGGCTAGGCTTTCTGGTTTAGGGGGTGGGGGCCGGGCAATCATGATCATATATTTAATGTAGAGCTATTGAGGGGCCTAAGGGCACCAGCAAGGCAATACATCACTCCTACATAGAGCAGGCTGACTACATCATGCTTAGTTGTTGCTTGCATGCAGCACATGTACTCGCACTGAAGACATAACATGTTGATCGGTCAGAGTCAGAGCAACATGCAGAAAGCAAACGCCCCCCCGCTTACAACATGTTCGGTCCGAAACCTGAAGAACTAAACTTCGCCCTGAAGCCGAAAAGCCTCAAACCTGAAACTCCCCATCTACTGCAGCTGTGATCCCACTCTACATCGTGCCTTCTACCCTCTCCCTCTTCCCAGCCTTACACGGCCTGCACCAGGTGAAGGCCAGTTTCACCACCTGACATCTCGCTTCTTAGCTGAACAGCAAAACTCGGAATGGAGGGAATCATAACGACGGATACGCGTAGCAGAAAGAGTAGCGACAGGTTGGTCGGAAGAGCCAGGGTGAAGGTAGATGGTGATCATGACGATGCTGATGAGGCTCAGGATGCTGATAGGTTCGGCAGGATATGGAGTTTGGAGTCCCAGAGGTTGGGCAGACTACCATAAAAAGGCTTACTGTCTTGGCGCTCCGAAGCGCAGAGTCAGGGGAATGCAGATGCCGACTGGTGTAGCAGGCGAAGCCGAAGCTGAACCGGCAACTGCTTTGCCAAACTGTCTTGCATCTTGAACAACCATTTCCATGGACCCCGAATTAGTGCCTTAAAGAGTCAGCAGCTCCTCTGTAGACTAAGTAGACTCTAGAGCCGGGTTCCCATCACTGGGGATCCCGACAACATCCTTTCCCGAAGCGACGATGGCATCCAACTCCGCTTCGCTATGGACCTGCCACCCGCTGTCTTACGTGTCCAGCCGCTCAGAAGCCTTGACGTACTTTGAGCTCTAGCCAAGTCACGAGCTTTACACTTTTGTAAACTCTACAACATGTGATGAATCGAGTCCATGTCAGAGCTGGTGGGAATCTTTGGAAAGCCGGGAATTACCCAGCAAACGTCCTCTCATGCACCGTCGGAGAATCAGAGAAGGCTTCATGACTCACGAAATTGCAGTTGCACCCACATTCCCTTCGTGCTTATAAGGTTTCGGAGTTGAATGGGTTTAGGGCTTCCGGGCTTCCGTAGAGTCTCTGTGCTTTAGTTAGAGCAGAAGCCCTGTCGAAAACCGCGTTCTGAGGCATCTGATGAGGAACCAGAACTCACACGACGAAACCATGAGGCACCGTGGTGATGTGGCCCAGCATGCCGTCCGCAGCCTCATCTGAGGCCTCGGGGCTTTGCAAAACGGGGCAACGAAACAAAGAACCGGTAGTACTAGTGAATGAAAGCGCATACCTGGGATTGCTGGGACTTATGTCGCCTGATTGTATAGCAGCTACAAAAGCGTTTTGGTGGGCGGGGGTTGCCGTGCTTAGTTCACCGGTGCTCTCGAAGGCTGCAAACCGAAACTACCGCGAGCTGTGCTTCGGGCTGGTACAGTAACTGGCATGGACAGGGCTTCAGGATCTTAGCGATCTGGATAACGGTTCCGAACTCAAGCCACTTTACTTTGTCAGCATGTCGATGTAGCGTCTTCGCAGATCGGAATGAACATCTTGCGCAGCGTACAGGTCTTTGCCAAATCCCCTTAAAGTATCGGCTACCACCACTACTACTACTGCTACCACCACCACCACCACCATCACCACCACCACCACGACTACTATACTACTACTACGACGACGACTACTACTACTACTGCTGCTTCTACTTCTACTTCTACTTCTACACTTGGCACAGACCCGGGCCTGAACTCGCTTTGGAGTCGTCTCGAGGTACCGAACAACCTGGCAAAACAGGAAAACAAGCTCGGGTTTAGGTTCAGAATGTCCCAAACGGCCAGAAAAAAAAAGCACCAGCGGTTTAGGGTTGAGGGACAAAGTGTGTTAAAGTTCGGGGTTGCGGGCTTTCTGGTTTTGGCTTAGCCAGGGGGCCGATGAGCTTCACCAGGGGGGGGTTCTTAGCAGCGTGATGATTAAGAGGACCATGGCAGAACAGACAAGTTGGTACTTGGCATGAAGGGGCTCGCAATAGCGCGTGAGAGTCCCGAGGCCAACATGTCAAATTCACCCTTCGCTCTGGCCCTGGAAACCCCAAACACACCGAAACCTCACCCCCAAACTCTCAAATCCTGGAGTCCTAGAACCCCAAAATCCAAAATGCAGCGTATGAAAACGCCAGACCTGCGGCCCTTCCCCCGAAACCCTGAACCCCGATCCCGCAACCCGTAAACCTTTGAGCATGGCCTCGGCAAGCTCTAGGTGAGTTCGAGCAAGCCCAAGAAAATCAGCAAAATCGATTCCGTCATGACCTCGACCGTTCAAGGGCTTAGCAGAGCTCGGGCTTCGGGTCTCGGGAACGGACGTTTCGGAAATCTTCAGCACCACCATGCTTTCACTTAGCTCGCGCTTGCCGACAAAATATGCCATTTGCCCAGAACGATCCAAGTCCAAGTAAGACCAATGTCTGAAGCCTGATCTCATATAGGGACCTTCATGAATAAAACAGGGCTTTGGGGCATACTACACTAGAATTATAATAAGGAATCCCCAAAATAGTATAGGTAATTATGTAGGCCCCTATATTAGATCTGAAGCATCCCGGAAGCGCTCCGAAATCTCGTCAGTGTCTCACCGACATCGGCTTCGTCTACGATCTGATCCAGCTCCTGGCTGGAAGCAAGACAAGCAGGGTCCCGAGCTCGGGTTCAGGCTTTGGGGCATTATACGGTTTGAGAGGGTGTTATAGGGTACAAGGATCTGGTAGCCGTCTGTTGTAGAGCTCTGTCAAGAGTGCTCGTTAGGCTGCCACAGCACATGGGCGAAACAGCGGTTTCAACGACTGCACATTTGCATTTTCCGGGAGCATAGAACCCAGAGAATGCAAATCCCCGAAGTACACATACATATATACATACATCCATCCATCCATCCATCCATCCAGCCAGCCAGCCATCCATCCATCCATCCATCTATCCATCAGGCATGCATGCATGCATGCATGCATACATACATACATACATACATACATACATATGTATATATATATATACGTGGGTCCAGACGCCTCACATAGCCCCATATTATGAGCCCGTGATATTGACTCCAACCCCTTGCACACGGGCGTGAACATGACATGGAGGGTGAGTGGTAAGAAGCAACCAGCTGCAACAGAAATAGTGACGACGTTCCTTCATCTTCATGTCTGCGATCACTGCTACTCTTGCAGGAGTGTTGTGCTGTCGGTTTACCCAGAGACTCCAATACCCCTTAATTAAGGAATATACCTCAAATTATAGTAGGACCCCTAATATGATTTCTGGTATATTCCTTAATTAAGGGGTATTGGAGTCTCTGGGCACGTGCTCATCAAAAAATCGTTCTGCGCAACTACTCCAATGAAAATGTAGCGTACTTTCTACAGCCTTACACCCTTCGAAACAATTAGAGAACGGATGAAGCTGTCTTATCGTAATGATTGAAGCCACCATACCAAAAAACCTTTCGGTTTAGGGCTTATAGGGTTTAGAGTTTAGGGCCCACTGAGGCAAAGCTGAAGAAATCAGCACAGCAAGATCTCACGATCTGCAACGAATCCTGAATGGAGCTGCTGGCAACCTCGACCGGTCCATCGCGCAGTAAGAGTCTACACACTCTTCAGCTGATCCTGCACAGCACTGCTGTCACCACCAGACTCAGCATCACCCCAAGTCACGACGGATCCATCACCAAGAATGGCAGCAAAAGCGCAGTCTGTGGCTTGGATCTGCTGCACATTCTTCAGCTGATCTTGCACAGCACAGCTGTCACCGCCAGAGTCAGAAGCACCCCAGGTCACGACGGATCCATCGGCCAGAATGGCGGCAAACGCATCAGGAGAGGTTTGGATCTGCTGCACATTCTGCAGCTGAGCATGCACAGCACTACTGTCACCACCAAGGTCAGCATCACCCCAGGTCACGACTGATCCATCGCCAAGAATAGCAGCAAAAGCGTGGCCAGTGGATTGGATATGCCGCACAGTCTGCAACTGATCCTGCACAGCATTACTGTCACCACCCTGGCCAGCATTGCCCCAGGTCACGACGGATCCATCACCAAGAATGGCAGCAAAAGCGTACCGAGTGGTTTGGATCTGCTGCACATTCTTCAGCTGATCCTGCACAGCACTGCTGTCACCACCAGACTCAGCATCACCCCAAGTCACGACGGATCCATCACCAAGAATGGCAGCAAAAGCGCAGCCAGTGGCTCGGATCTGCTGCACATTCTTCAGCTGCTCCTGCACAGCACCACTGTCACCGCCACCGTGGGCATCACCCCAGGTCACGACTGATCCGTCACCAAGAACGACAGCAAAAGCGCCGGAAGAGGCTTGGATCTGTTGCACATTCCTCAGCTGATGCTGCACAGCACTGCTGTCACCACCACAGTTCGACCCACCCTACGCCACGGCAGATCGGTCAGCAAGCACGGCAGCGAAAGCACATGAAGTTGCTTGGATCTGCTGCACATTCTTCAACTGGTCCCGTACAGCACTACTTGGCCAAGCACTGTCACCACCAGAGTTCTCATCGCCCCAGGCCACTACGGATCCGTCATAAGTTATGGCAGCAAAAGCGTCATCGTTGGCTTGGATCTGCTGCACATTCTTCAGCTGTTCCTGCACAGCACTGCTGTCACCACCGTAGACAGCATCACCCCAGGTCACGACTGATCCGTCACCAAGAACAGCAGCAAACGAGCCGCTGGAGGCTTGGATCTGCAGAACATTCCTCAGCTGATCCTGCACAGCAGTACTGTCACCACCGTAGTCAGCATCACCCCAGGTAACGACAGATCCATCACTGAGAATTGCAGCAAAAGCTCTGGCAGTGAAATGAATGTCAACTCTGCTGATGTGCAACGTCACTGAGTCACCAGTCTGCAGCCTGGCATGCTTGACCGTTGCAAATTCATCCAGAATGCTCCCGGAGGGGTCCAGCAGCCGCCCTTTTCCGACTCCAAGCTCAGACTGTGCGCGAAATTTCAATGTTGCGACGGTCTCATCCAAGCCCATGTTCACTCAGCTGTCTTGCCACTCAGCAATCGGACTTCCACAATCATCGACATGCTAACAGAGAAGAAGAATGTGGCTACCAAGGTGCGAGGCCGAATCTGGTCTGATGTGTCGGTTTCGAGAAGGAAGTAGTAGAAATAGTAGTGGTAGTAGTAGTCGTCGTAGTAGTAGTAGTAGTAGGAGTAGGAGTAGGAGTAGGAGTAGGAGTAGGAGTAGCAATAGCAATAGCAGCAGCAGCAGCAGCAGCAGCAGCAGCAGCAGCAGTTGTAGCAGTAGCAGCAGCAGCAGCAGTAGCAGCAGCAGTAGCAGTAGCCGTAGGAGTAGTAGTAGCAGGAGTAGGAGTAGGAGTAAGAGTAGGAGTAGTATTAGCAGTAGTAAGAAGAAGTAGCAGCAGTCATGTGAGCAACATCTGAAAGCAAGACAACGGTGGGCCTCGGCAGAGAAATGCTTCCCCAGGCCAGCGAAAAGCTGGGCAACGGCTTGATAGATCGGGGCAGGGCTGGGAACCAAAAGCGAGTTGGTCGCATGTGCAAGCATACACATACTTAGGTCATGAAAGGTGTGTATCCATGTGAACATATACGCAATACGTATATGCGTGAATGGGTATAGATTTGTATGCATGCATTTGTATGGCCAGCTCAATTGGTTTTCGATGTGCTGTTATCCAGGCTTTCGAATCGGGCAAGTTGCTTGGGGGCCCTAGTAAATAAAGTGTCCAAACGTCTGTGCCGGGACGGCCTGATAATGCCCCGTTGGCCTCTTGTTCTTCTTTGCAGAGGATTCGTACATTCCACATGCTGTTATCTGCAAGTGACTACCGACGGACGGTCCGCAAGATTTCCGGCCTCCAAGACTCAAAGTCCAACCTCAAGACCAGGCACTCTCAGCAACCTCTGCAAATGTCCACCCCCAGCACTTAAACCCCGATCCAGTTCAGACACAAAGTACAAAAGGTGGTAATCAGGCGTCCTCAAGCCAAAGCCCTCAACTCCTCGGGGCACCTTGCCCAGGGTCTCCCGGGAGATCAGGCCGTCGCCCTCATCCACGCCGCTAAAAGCGTTCTCGTATTCCTGCCACGGGTGGACTTCGACAGGTGAGGCCTTGGGGTGTCCGATTAACCCTCACACAGATACCATAAGCCCTCAACTCCATAGCCTGAAGCTGAGAGATTCTGGCTGGCTGTAAACTTTGCCAGGACACTAGCGAAAACGAGCACGGGAGTGAAGGGAGTATAATGATTCATGATGCTGCACTGAGACTCGTGGAGGCTCGGTTTGGCCTGTTAGGCGGGTTGCCAGCAGGAAACGAACGAGTGCCTGCCTGTCCACACAGGCAAGATTCTGGACCTAACAGTCCCACATCTATGCGCTTCCGGGCCGTACCTCGAGCTTCCCTTCCAGCAGCAGACCGTCGTGGGCCTCGGGATCGTGGGGATCCCAATTTACGCGTAAAGCCGCAAAGCTAAAAGCTCAGAGTGTATAGGGGAGAGGGTCGAAGCTTTGGGCCTGAAGCGGTTAAGCCTATAACGGATATTACTTGTATAGCATGTATATACATATGTATATATATGTATACACATACATACATGTGTATATATATATATATGTATATATACATATATATATATACATATATATATATATATGCATGCATGCATACTTATATACCTCTGCGTATACGAATAGGTGTACGCTCTGTAAGTAAGCCTACTGTCTGGCACCGCCATGACAAAACGTGTCGTAGTCGTAGTTGACTGCTTGAGGCTCGCAGCAGCTCTTGAGCCAAGCTCCGGGAAGCGCGGCTTGCGGAGGCAACAAACATGGAAAGGCGCGAGGGTTTAAGGTTTCATTGATGACAATTAAGAATATGTCCAGATGTTTGCAAGATCCTGCGCCTCGTGCGCAAGTCGCTGCACTCCCCGTGCGAAGAATGGTGCTTGACGCAGGGTCAATGACACAGTATTTGTCATACTGTAAAGCTACAGAGCCGAGCCGACACCCAAACATCCCAAAAAATCCGTCAACTTGAAAACCGCAAGCTCCAAAACCGCTATTCTAGGGCTTCGGGCTTCCGATGTCCTTGGAGAGAGATACGACTCTGTGGTTCACAGCTTCTTGCGGTTCAGGGTTCAGAGGCTTTCGGATTTGAGGCTTAGGTGCTTTAGGGTTCTAGGGAGCTGCAACCTGAGACCCAGACCAGGCGTCCGAATTCCTTAATTCCAATGCCGTCCTGGACAAGGCAAAAGCGGTTGTATACGGATCCCTATAAGGACTTTTTGAAAGGGATCCTATAAGGGTCACTATAAAGACTCCCACACAGTTTCCTGCAAAGGTTCCTATAGAGGCTCCCACAAAGGGTTCTATCAGGTTCGGCAAATGGGGAGATCCTGAAAGGGTCCGATGCCTTGAATTTAAGACTCTTCGGAAATTTGGGTAGTGATTGAAGTCCAGGAACATCAACAGCCGACCGAAAGCCGGACACTTCGCAATCGATTACGAAGTCCTCACCGCGTGTTGTTGGGCCTAAACTCTCCCCCAAACCGTGGCCCAGAAACTGAAGCCTATAGACCCTAAACCCTGAATTCCTAGACCCTAAACCCTGATTAAACACGAGGCCCTCCTCTGCGGCATACTGCTTCCAGATCTTGTCCAATGTGGACTCTGCAAGCCAATGCTTTGTCAAGCAAAAACTGTCTGTGCACTCCAGAAGGCTGCGCAGTGACCTTGGCCATGCGATTGGAGCTTCCACTCCAGAGCTGGGCTCATTGTGTTGGATTTAGACGGATGTACGATTCATAACGGGTGCTGGATTCCTGACATTACGCTAAGACCTCAGCCACAAACCCGGGCCAAGTCACTCGCGAGGTAACGCGGCCTCTTCCCCTTCTCCGTCCGCAAATGACAGAAAGCGGGCTCGACCTGGAAATCTGCTGGGGTATGACGGCAGCGTGGCTTCGGAGTTGAGGAACCACTGAACCACTATAAACCATTACCTTCGAGGTTGGTTCGAGTGAGTCAAGACAACAAGTGTGGGCCTTGCCCTTACTGTTGCAGGATTCGGATCTTCTGAGGGTCTTCTGAGGGTCTTGGAGCATGGATGGGTCAATGAGGGTGTCTGCGCGTCTGTTTGTGTGTGTGTGTGTGTCTGTGTGTGTGTGTGTGTGTCTGTGTGTTTGTGTGTGTGTGTGTGTCTGTGTGTTTGTTTGTGTGTGTCTGTGTGTGTGTGTGTGTGTCTGTGTGTGTGTGTGTGTGTGT